TTACTTTTTAATCTCCTAAAAATGGCTGGTCATTGTGTTGCCTAGCTGGTCACTATGAAGCATAGAAACCCATTCCCAATTGACAAGCCATTCTGTCTCTCTACTTCCTTCCTGTTTATCCCATATAAGCCCTAGACCACCAGAAGTCAGGGACTATCATTTTGAGGAACAACTGATTCTTAGTCAGTACCCATCCAATGTTAAATCTGCTTCCAAATCCTGGGTGTCATTTTAGTGTTTCTCTTTGCCATTGCCTCTGGTGTGTCAGGGTGGAAGACTGACCATGCTGACCTCCTTGGTCTCTTGTTATGGCCCTCCCAGATGGAGCAAAGACCTCTCCAATCCCAACCCAGGGAAGCTGTGCCCCTGAGATTTCTTGAGTAATCTTGGAGGACTGGAGGAGGATTCCTGGCTCTCCAGTTGAGTGGCTCACATTGGACCGCAAAAGGAGGAGGATGTAGTCTGTCTGTCTCTGTGCTTATCTGCTTCCTGCCTGATTCGAATAAGACCCTGTCTGTCTGTCAGTCCTGCTCAGCTCAAGCAGAAGGGGAGTCTGATGAACTCTTGTTGGGACTACCCCCAAGGGAAAAGGAGATGGGGTATTTTACTTCTCAGTGCCTGTTGAATGAATGTGTGAGTGAGTAGAAGGAACAGTGTAAGAAATAAGCTGCTCCATCTGTGCACCAAGACTGAGAAGCATGGTTGTGGTGGCTGATTTGTCCTTTACTTGTGTTTCCATATTGATGAACATATGCCCTAATGGAGCTCTCACACTATCCTTAGCTAAGTCGTGACCAAGTCCCCACACGGGGCACATGAGGTGGACATCTGCATGGTCTCTCTCTGAGGGGCATCCACTCTTTGTCCATTGTGCCATTATTTAAGGACACACAATACACATATAGAAAGTCAGGGGTGGGAATTAGGCAAAACCCACAGTCCCTGACTGCAGATAAAAGGGCTTTTATGAGATTAAAATGAAAACAAACTGCTTCCTGTATCTCAAGAGTGCCACCGGGATATGTCTAAATTTAAAAGATGATTTCCTCTACTTACAATTTGCTCCTATAAGCTTCTTCATCTGGGAAAGTACTGAGACAAGATAAACTCACTTGATTCAACTACTACAAAGGGTTAAACTCTCCCACTATATTGGGGGAGGCTGCAACAGTAGATTTGGCTAAGTTCTCATCACCTTCTCTCTGACACAGCTTATTTCTCTGTCCCTTCCAGCTCTATCACAGTTCCAAGGAGTGTGTGTGTGTGGGGGAGGGGGGGGAGAATGAGACTTCAAAACCACAAAATATTTGTAGACTGTCAAACTGCTACAATACACTTCTCCTGCCTGTAGAGTCAGTTCAAGATCTCCAAGCTGCCTTTGCCACCTAATTGCCTTCCATATATGTTGCCTCAGCCTTCTGCCACCAAAAGTCTGCTGTCTGGACCTAAAGAATCTTTCTTTTGCCTTCTATTGGCTCCTGTCAGTCGGTCTCTTTTCACCTTTAAATGGAAAGACCCCAATTCTGGACTCAAAAGTCTATTGCCCTGATATCAACCTCCCAGAGGTTCAAAAACTTGTTTACCCTCTGTGGAGAAGCCCTCACAGCTGACCTCAGTAGTTTTTCAGCACAAAATATCACTACATTTCTAATTAATGACACTCAAGCTGCCTTCTGGAAAGACACAAAAGCTATACTGCAATGTTTGGCAGAAACTAGTTACAAGAAAAAAAAAAACTAAATTTCCTGGAGCTTCTGCTTCTATAGAATCTGTATGCTTGAGTTCACAAAACCAATAATGCCTACTTAGACTGTCAGTCCCGGGAGCACCCAGTGATCTACCTGTGCAAATACTTAGATCAAGTCCCTGAGGGCTTCCTCCCCACTTTTCCTTTGTGCTCTAATGTGCACTGTTCTTCTGATCAGGAAAGTGGATAAGCTCATATTAGGCTGAGGCCCTAACTATCCAGGTGCTCTATGCTATACTGGACCTAAAAATGGACCCCATGACAGATGCTGAGTACACCCTGTTTATGGAAAAAAGTAGCCCTGTTAAGAATGGAATCTGAGAGGCTAGATATGCTGTGGTCACCTTATGCAAAGTTATTATTGCCAAAGCTCTCCTAATTCTACTGCTTGCTGCTGTATAGAAACTTGCCACCAATGATGCCAAACCTGAATTCCTCAGCCCCCTCCAGGGATCCAGTTGACTAAAACGTCAAACCAACCACCATACCTGCCCCTACCATATGTTCTGTAAGCTCGAGCCCCTGTGCTGGTACCCATAACCCTGCAGATAGCTCAGGCCTCGAATCTGTATCACTGGCCCTGATTTCTCATTCCCTACCCAAACTGAAGAGACAAGAAGTTTGTAGGATCCTGCTGTAAAAAAATCATCCCTGGGCTGGGGATTTAGTTCAGCAGCAAAAGTGCCTGCTTTGCAAGCATGCGGTTGTGAGTTCAATCCCCAGTACCAAAAAAAAAAAAAAAAAAAAAAAAAAAAAAATCATTCCTAGATATGGCCTAACCTTGACCATCAGCAGCAACAGGGCACCTGTGTTTGTAGCAGAGATAACTAAATAAAAACTACACATAGCATACAGGCCACAAACTCTAAAAAGTTGAAAAATTAAAGCCTAACCCTACCAAAAACAGCTTGTAACTAGCTCCACAAAAGTTTAGCTAAAAGACCAGCTATACCTGTAGACAGTTCTACATACACATATAACCAAGGTACATAATAAGTACCTCTACAAATTTCAAAAATCCAGCCTTCGATCCACCATTCTGGAGTTAAAAGAGCCCATACAGACAATTGCTGAGGAATTTACCTGAACAGCTCTTTCAGGGCTCACTCAGAAGAGGTGCTGCCCTCAAGCCCTCCTCTGGTCATTAGGGATGCTGACCAGTCTATGCATGGCTAAAGCCTGAGGACACCATTCACAGGATTGCTCCATACCTATTCCCTTTGATTTTTTTGTCTTTTCAGGCTGCTTACCTTGTTCCTCCTTCTAGCTGTGGGTTTTTGCCTTAAACCCCAACAAGAATAGATCAATCAATCAAACACTTGACCAAGATTTGTCAAGGGTCCAAGACACGTTTGAGAGTCTCCTAGATCAGATTAACTCTTTCACCCCCTTGTCAGAGTCAATTAGGGAGAAACCCTATAAAAAGGGAAACAAACCACAAACTCCTGGTGAAAAAGCTTTCAGTCTTGGGAACCTTGGCCAGGGTTCATCCTAGGACCACTGACAGCCTTAATGTTACTGCGTCTAGTTGGGTCTTCACTCAAAAGATCACACATAACCTTTTCAGCAAAGATTTCCAGGGGAAACTAAGAGACAGGGGAAATGTCATCGAAAATGCCCCTCAACCAGTCTGTTAGTTACCCGGAAACAGTTTCTGTTACTTCCGTCTTCTAGAAATGGCTAGTCACTGTGACGCATAACTGACCACGATGACCACATTTTAATAACCCCCAATTGATCAGCCATTCTCCCTCTATCCTTTCTGCTTGCTCCTGCCATGTAGGCCCTAGATCACCAGAGGTCAGGGCTTGACATTTGGAGGAACTGTTGCTTTCTAGTCAGTGCCCACCCAACAGTAAATAAATCTGCCTCCAAATCCTGAGTGTCATCTCAGTGTTTTTGTTTGCCATAGCACTCATATCATTTCTCATTTACAATACTTTATTCAGTAGATGAGTTGAGGGGCATAATTAAAGGAGGATTTAATGTTTGTGAGGAATGTCAGATAAAGGATTAGTATTCCAGAAAAGTGATAATGTTAAATAATGAAAAATTTAAGTGATTATGATTTTTGAGAAATGGTAATATAGCCCCAGGGATATGTTCTGAGAAATTAAAGGACATGGCAGCTTAAGGACTTTAGTGATATAGAAGGAAAAGTCATGTAATTGCAGAAAATTAGTGACGACTAGCCCAGCCTTGAAGAGTCATACGGTAGCAAAGAAAGAAGATACAAAGACGAATATTTACTAGTTGTTGAGAATCATTTTCTATTTTGTCTTTACTGTTTATACTAATTCTCTATTTTGTCTCCTGAGCATCATATACCATCTCTCATACTCATGGTAGACAAGTGATCAATGTGCAGAAGCTATCTGCTGTGGACTGAATTGTGCCTCCCTAAGTTTATAACCTAACTGTCCATGTGTTTGGAAACAGGGCTGTTAGGGCTGCTAATTAGGGTTTAAAGAGATCATAAAAATAAGACTAATCGAATAGAGTTGGTATCTTTATAAAAAGAGGAAGATATGTGTGTACATGTGTGTGTGTGTGTGTGTGTGCACATGTGCATTCGTGTACTGAGAAAACATTTTGTGAGGGCTCAGAGAGAAGGCAGCGCATGTGGGAAGAGAGCCTGTCTAGACACTGAGCATGTTGTACCTAGTTCTTAGACTCACTGGCCTTCGGCGCTGTGAGAAAATTAATTTCCATTGTTTAAGTTACCGCTGTGTAGTGCTTTGTATGGCAGCCAAAGCTAAGATACTAACAATGTTATGGGCTTTCATGGGAGGGGTTGGTTGTTGTTTCTCTGGGCAGAATGTTGGCCAGAGGATTTTTTTTTAATTAAGCTGAGCTTTTTTTAAAAATCTCATTTCTTACAGTTTCCTGACAGAAATAACATCCCTTGACCATTTTCCTATCACTTGTGGTGATATTTTACACATACACATATGCCTGTGCGAGTGAAAGACAGTTACCCTATACCTTGAAAGGCTCAGCTATTTCTTCACACCCACTTAGTGTCACATACAGACCAGATTTAGCCTTGAATGGAATAGTCAGAATGGAAATTTTTAACAGATTTATGTCAATTCTAAGTCTTGAACATTTTTAGTTTACTGCAGCTTAGATATTCAAGGACTAAGATGCCAATGAATGTAGGCTTCTATTAAAATATATAATTAACAATCCAAAGTAGTAATGGAATAAAAAAGATAAACATAAATATAGCTTTAGAACATTCAAAACCAAATACATTTTATAGGAAAGTATTTTATTTTTGTGTCTCAACAGATGGAATTCATAACCTTATTTTCTGATATGACAGTTCAAACATACAAATCAATTACAACAATGTGGTTTTCAGCTCCCTCCTCCCACTCCTGTAATTTAAAACAACTGACAATTTTGAAGGACACCAAGATGATAGGGCTTAAACAATATGGCAGTTAACATGGCCATCCAAGAAAATAATTACAATAGTTCTTCAAAAGAATTTGTCCTTTGAGCAAAACAGACTGAATGAAAAGAATCGTCATGAAGATAGTTTTCCTTCTAGTAAAAGGGAAAAGGGAAGTATGTTAAAACAATGGTACAGAAAAATAGGGAGTCAGAATGAAACCATCAGAAAGCCCCAGATAAAACAAACAAACAAACAAACAAGCAAACAAACAGAAAAACAAACCTTCTCCAATGAAACGCATCCTCTTGAAGATATCTTTTAAAACTCTTGTTTCATATTGAAATGCATGTTTCCCCTACCCCTAGTGCCTAGAAATGAATTATTTATGTACTTTGTTAAAATTAATAATTTTTCTAAACCAGCATCTCCCAAAGAGAGGGGAGAATTTGTTATTAATTTTGTAGAAGTCAGTGATTTTAAACGTAAACCAGCCAACTGACGGCCAGTATCATTTTAGACTCCAGTCTTAAGAGGAGGATGTGTACTCTGGTAGACCTGGGCTCCCAGGGGAGAGGAGTTCACACCCACTGATTTCTTTAGTCACCCTAAATCCTGTAGCACCTTTATAATGTGTTCTCATTTTTATGTCATTCCCCCATGCTTTTCACAGTATGCCTCACAGCACCCTTGTGAGGTAGGTAGTGTTATGGTCATTTTGAGAGACAGGGATGTAGAAATGTTCAGTAGCTTCCCATAGAGAAACCCGAATCTAGTGACAGAGCCTTGGAGACTCTTACTCTAGATCCTTGTTTTTTTAGTACTTAACCATTCTGACTCCCTGAGAATGGATCATTAAAGTGAGTAGGTCCTCATTGCCAGACTCATGCCTGGTCAGTTGGACACTAAGGCCCATCTCTAAACCATATGATTTGTATGATAGAATGAGAAATGGGTCATGAGCAATATGGAAGTCAAAGAGTTAATATGGATTAAAGTTTGAAGCACATTTTGATAGCTTTATTTACTGATGTGCTATTAAGTTACTATGATCATGGATATTCAATAGGTATTACATGATTTAATAATTGAACGAGTGAATGGAGTCTATGCCTGGATATGTGGAAAATTAAATTTTCTGCATCTTTTAAAACAAAAGCTAGAAAAATCTGATGTATAATTTTTAATTAAAAATGAGTAGTTTCCTGAATTTTCAGTTTTCCTGTATTTGAGTTAATGTTGGCAGTATTTAGAAGTGTATAAATACTAAGACATTTAAAATGTTTTTCAATACAGAATTTGTTTACTTACTGGTTTGGAACCCAAACCATGAAGAGGCAGGCAGTGACACAAACACAAACACCACCCATTCTCCAACACAGTTAAAGTCTCAGTGTACTTACTTGCTTTTTATCACTCATCCAAAAACCTACCCTCTCTGGTTCTTATCAGATGCTATTCTGAAAAGACCCTGAACTACCTAAACAATGGACTGTCTTCCCTGCACTTACCAGCCAGCGTTCATTTTTGAGTCATTTTCCATTTCTGTGAACCTAATTTTCTTTCTTTCTTTCTTTCTTTCTTTCTTTCTTTCTTTCTTTCTTTTTCTTTCTTTCACTCCAGAAGATTCAGGGAAAAAACAAGCAAACAAACAAACATCCCAAAAACCAACCAAACAAACAAACAAACAAAAAAAAAACCCATTCTTTTGTATTGAAGGCAAACCTATATTAATGTCAGCAATTTTCTTAAAGCATTGCCATGGAGGGCTCTTTAGACCACTAAAGTACAGGCAACTGGATTACTAACATAGAAGAGCTTATATAAATCCAGATGGTGGAGCTGGTAATCTCTTTGCACTACACATTTATTTGAGGTCCAGTGCATTTATTCCCTGTAGGATGGATGTTTAAGCAGATATGCTACGAGCCATAAGAATGTCAGGTGCCATAGAATGAGTTTATATGGGTGGGTGTTTAAAGAAGTATTTACTTAACTTTCACAAGAGCTCTGTATGTATATAATTAATGTAACCTATTAGTCTTTTATACATGTAGCTAATAGTCCATGGCTAAAGGAATAGATTAGATGTGGTGAATTGCTCTGTGCTGTAGCGCTAAAATGTGCAATCTCTTGTGCTAAGGAAAAACATGACCAGGGAGGCTATGTTTAGAAAAAGGGTTGCCTTAGAGGGAGATCTGATAAATAGATTTACCTCCTAATATAAAAATCAAAATAATAAAATTATTCAGTATAGATGTACCTTTTGCAATCATATACAAGATTTAAGTTTTTCAATCAAAGAGGCAATTAGTTTACTAGCACATTAGACTAGTAGACTCCCCTTGGGTTTTCAAATCTCAGCTACTAACTTCCGAATGATGAGTTGTATTCTTTGTTTTCATTATTGATGTTCAGACAGAGAAGACCATACATCTTCCATCTGCCAGTTCATCTCCTTATCATTTTTGTAGATGGTACTCATAGTATAAAACTATATGTGTGTGTATGTGTATCTGGCATTAAAATACACGTACTATTCAGAGAGATTACTGACATGTTCTGATTTACCAAGTTCAGAGAATTGTGGAATGAGTATGGGTATTGGCTGCATAGCTATAAGAAATCCTTCCAAATCCAGTATTTTTACAGAAGGTCACAATTTTTGCTCTAGTTATTTATAATAGTTGATGAAAGGCACTAGAGGGACAAGCCCTAGATGCCAATGTCTCATATTTTTCACAGACTATGGTAGAAATTCAGGTGAGTTTTTGCTCAGGTTTAACTATCTTCTCTTCAATTTGACTTTTATGGTCAGGAATCTTTATGTCTTGTATTTTGAGTCTGATGATAAGATAACTAAGAATATAGGTTTATACAATAAATTTATCTGCCTTACGGAGAGTAGATAGGAACCTATAATTTATGTTTGATTATATCAAATGACAGAAAACATTCAAAAAGCTGTGCTTGTTGCAGAAAAATGGGAAAAACAAAAATGGAAACAGAAAAATGAGAAAAACATGAAGCAAAACAAAGACAGAAACAGTGATGAACTTTTAATTTTAAGAAGTAACACATGACCAGAAATTCTTTAGAAATATGGAGCCAAGATGCTAAGGTAAAAGTAAGTTTAAGTTACCTTTTAATAATTTCACTTCACTGAATTATCTCTTTCCCATTATTTATGAATGAGTTATGGAATATTGGGACAATCTTAACTGATCAGTGAGTTTCCTTGATAATCAAACTTGTATTAGTTGGCAAAGACGTGTACCCAATACATTCAGAACTATGTTTACAGGACATTGTTTTGTTTTTGTCATGCTGGTTTAGTGCTATGAAAACCCACTGTCAAAGACATAACTCTTGCTCAAGCAATTCTGGATTACCAAAAAATTTTCAAGGAGAAGGAAATCTCTGTATGGTAGCAAGCTCTCCATTTTGCAATTAAAGAGCAGCAAAGTAACCTTTCCTTGAATCCCTCAAATAACAGCCTCAGAATTTGTGTTTGCTGCTGTCTACAGGTCAATCTCAGGCTTTCTTGTCATCTAACATATCTTCCAGTTACCCTTGCTGTCAGCTTTGTGCTTTCACCTACACCTACGTGCCCTTCACTGGAAGGCATCAAATGAACTACAGGAGGTAAGGATGATGCAATAGCTGGTGACAGTACCTGAGCACAGCTCCCAGAAGCCCAGTCCCTTAAATACCCCCAAGAAGAAGAGCATCTTCCATCTCAGCACATGCACTGCATGGGAATAAATTCTAAACTTTCAATTCATTTCTCTTTAACACTAGACAACCTTCTCTCTTTTGTTACCAATTTGCTTGAAGATAATTTTCCCCCTTTAATATTAATATTTGTCCCTTTGTTTTTTACATGAGGTTTTGGATCATGAAAAGCTGACTGAGTGAAAGCTAACATAAACTAGATGATGATGTAGGTAGGTAGTGTGGCTTGCCTAACCCTTCCAAGTCAAATGAAATTGAGATAATTTTGCAAGTGATACAGGATTTATTTTCACTAACATAGAATATTTTTATAGTATCATTGATAGTGCATAGATTTCAATATCTAGCAGGTCAAATCTGACCCTTTTGTGACTTTAATAAAGAACCTGATACAGCCTACCCTCTCGTACTCTCTGCATGGTCTCCACTACTGCACCACAGAAGCAAGAGTCCACTGGTGGGCCTCTTCTGCCGGCTCTGTAGAAAATTTTGTTAACGTGGTGCTCACACAATTTAACAGCCTTGTGTTCCTTATGAGTCTCATGTAACCTACTTTTCTCAGTAAGAAGATATTTTCTATGTGACTCCAGTGACCTTTTCTTACATTTTATTTCTTGATAGCCCAGTGGATTCAACTGAATGTCAGATGCTTAAGCCCTTTTTATCAGCAAAGAAAATGTTTTCTAACGTATTTTACATGTAAATAAGTTAACTTGTTTTTACATGTTAAAAAAGCAACATGCCCACATGATTATTCAATAATAATAGTAAGACATAAACCTAAATCAAGATAATTTTGCCTTTAGCATTAATAATTTAAGAACAAACCAAGCTATCAGGCATTTTTAAGAAAAGTTTTGTTAGAATGGTGGTTAATTACTTCCAATTGTGGTATATTCCCAGAGTGAGATTTTGGTAAAAGACAGTAAAGAAAAATACAGAGACACATTATCTTTTTTCTTGTTCCCTCCTGTTCAAAGTTAACTTTTTAAAGTTACATTTTAAACACTTAAAAAAAAAAATCAAACAACCCTACCCCACATATTTATATATGTATATATAAACAATAGTTTTATTATAATTTGGAGCATTGTACACTTAATGGATAAAATGTATAGACAACTGTCTTGTGCTTTAAATAGCATACATGTGTATGGTGCATCTAATTTTATCACTGGAGGATGACAGCATGTTTTCTTATAGATACTTTCTATATATTTCTTATGACTTAACTTCAGTATGGTACTATCACACAGATGTATGTCTGAATCAGTACATGGCTAGACACATACTGTTTTAAGGAATGGGAGAAATTTTCCAAATCTGAGTTACTCTTTTGCTTAACTTTTTTGTTAATCATATTTCATAGATTGTATCAATTATATTAAAGTTCAGAATAAAGCAATTCAGAATGGGAGGTGTGCAACAAAATAAAAAAAAAATTAACATAGCAACAAAATTTCTGTTTTTTAAATTAAAAAAAAAATAGTCCTGTTAGATCGAGTGCAAAATCTGACTCACTTTCAGTATGGCCAGAACAGAATCATTTGAACTTTACTGAGATTAGTACAATCAACCAATCTAGAGAACATAAATTTGCATTTCTGTTGTCTTCTAATGGAAATTAGCATACTAAAGGTAGAGGCTTCCTTAAAATGTGAAGTACTCTCTTGATTATGCCAGCTCTTTTCTCATCCTGCTAAGGCTATAAATAAATCTTCCTTTTTAAGTCTGGCATTATATCAACCCACCTGCTTCAGGAAGGGGAAAAAAAATCAGAATCACTCAACCTGCAGATTGCTGTCAGCTTGTGATTATATGAATGGTAAGTCTTAACTTTTAAAGTGTTATGAGATAGGCTGGAGGGGTTTTTTAAAAATGCAATTTACAGTTTAACAATTATCCAAGAATTTCTGAGTAGCAGTGAAAGAAGTCTTATCCCTGGAGAAAGCGTTCATTCATAAGGCATGAGAGCAGCTCAGAGGTAACAGTGGTAAATAGGCAGGTAGGAGTCCAAGGATCATTTTAGTTGTGGTTTCAGGAAATAAGACAGGAATGGTGCGCATGACAAAGCTTTAGTGTATGGGCTGTCTCAGAAGAGTTAGTACATCCTCCCCTCTACCCATGATTTTGTTTTCATGGTTTCAGTTATTTGAGATCAACCTCAATCTGAAAATATTAAATGAATATTTTTGTGTGAGTGGGAAATATGCATGGGAGTGTAGATTCATATAACTCATTGCAGTATATTTTTATAAATGTTCTATTTTTATTATTAGAACTTTGACCTCCTGCTATGTTTAGTTTATAAATTAAACTTGGTCAGTAGGTTTATATGTGTAGGTAAAAAGATAGCTCTTTATGGAGCTCGATGCTTCCTGAACTTTCAAGCATCCATTGAGGATATTGAGATCCTCAATATCCCTTGAGGATAACAGAGCTACTAGGGTCCCTCCTATTTTCCTCTTTCCTATTTAGGATATTTTCCAAATAATTGGCAGTAAGTGATGGAGGAGTAAAGAACTTTGCAAACTGAAATGGGCAGTCTTGGGCACATGTAAGCTTGTCCTAATCGGAGTCTAGTAGTTGGAAAGAGACCATCAGTCTGGTCTGTTTTAGAAAAACAACCCTTTTACATTCATCTTATTCATGTTTTCTGTTGTTGTTGTTGCTGCCAACATTTTATTACAGGCCATCTGTCAAAAAGCTCACAGAGGATGAGGAGTTTGTAGTCCCTAAGGTTTTTTGAGAAAACATGTAGTTACTTCTGTTGCTCCCAAAACAGACCAATCAACTGCAGATTTCACTGGAGAACAGTGAATCTAGTCACTAATGATTGATTTACCACATGATTTACTTGGATAAACCTTGCAAGCCTAACCTGAAAGGCTCATGGATCCCATCGCTATTAGGTAAACTTAACAGAAGATCCCAGCAAGTCATCTTGTTTCATCTCCGAGGACGATGTTGTGAAGCTTTCCTTACCAATAGTCAGACTTTCACTGGAGAACAAATGAACAGGCTGTCTTAGGAATGACTTTTGAAGGGTAAAACAGAGTGTCACTAAGAGGTATGTGTCAAGTGTTTGCCAAAGTACCTAGAAACACCTACTGTTGCCCAGCAAAGTCTAAAATCAGGAGTCAAGTAATATTTAATTCCTAAAAGTTTTCTACACACAAAGACAGAACTCCAAAAGTCTTCCATCAGAACAAAAGAATTGAATGGCACTCCTCAAGCCAATGATGTTAAGTCAATGGAAATAACCAGGCACATGATGTATTAGCCCAAAGGGGAATGGTAACAGTGTTGAAGATAAGTCTTTACCACATAGAATGAATGGCTCTGATCCCAAAGCTTTTCTTATTGACTCATACGCTACAAAATTCAGTGGCATTCTCTTGTGAGCTATAGGTGGCCAGAATATAGAAAAAGAGATAAAAATAGACCCAAATGAAAGTTGTAAAAAGAGCATAATCTGATTCTTCTTCAGTTAGAAAATAACTATAAAAACTAGAAATAAAGACATAAAATTAAAATGGAACCCAGCACCTCCCTCCAATCTTGCTTTACATTCCTGATACTTCTTTTGCAGGTCTTAGCCTTCGAAGCTGAAAATGATCTATACATTTTCTTTCCTAAGAAGCCTGAAGATACATTCTGTGTTGTTGAATGCCTTCTCAGAATAGCCCCTGAAGATAAAACAAATATCCTTGTACCAGATGAAGGGAGACCCTGGAAACATAAGTTAATTTAAGTGGGCCTCTGTTCATTTCATTTCTCTTAACATTTCATTTTTAATTCTAATATAAAAGTATTTTATTCCCACTCGAGTAATAGCAACAAAAATCAGGTTTTAATGGAGGGGGGTTTAAATAATCCATATTTAAATAGTCATAAAAGGTTATAAGTTCTGGACTCTTGTGAGATTTGAGAACAGAACATTTGACAGAACAACAAGAATAGAATTCACTCTAAAAATAGCTATAAAGTAAATCTTAAAATTCTTTTGTATTAAAAAGAGAGTTGTGGGTGATAAGCATCAACTGAGAGGGTTGAGCAAAACCAGAGTTCTGACAAATGTCTTCAGAAACTGGGAAGCATGAGTCTTAGCAGTTTCTGGGTTATATTTTAAAACTTTAAGAATATTTGAAAAATGTGATTATAAATGTAATAAAAATGAAAAGGGGTTAGAAAAGGGAGTAATATAAGAATTTGGAAAAATACAAATTTCTCATTAGAAACATATTTGCTTAGGTGAGTTATTTTGCATACATACACATACATACACACTATATTTCAAACACTATGTATTAATTTTCTTACATCATTAGGACTATTATGGGAAATTTTTTCTAATATAGATTTAATAACTAGAGAGAGTAGTATTTCTCTGAAAATATGCTTAATAACAAACAGAGTTCTGGTCAACTCAAAACGAAATTCTGAGCTAAACACCTGTACTTGGTAGAATACGTTGAAACAAAAAGTTCTGGAAGAAGATAATTCAGAAATGTCATAACCCAGGGGACAAATTTGGCCCATACACTGATCTGAGCAGCTACAAAAACAAAACAAAACAAAACCCAACAACAACAAAAAAACTTAACTATTTTAAAAACTGAACATTAAAATCCCAGACTTACAGTTGATGGAATACCAGAGCTTTGCAGATACAAAAAGGAACCCAAGAATTGTACTAATAGTGAGTGTACAGAAGTTAAATATTTAGCTAGTTACTTGTAAATTCATTACTAATGTCCTTTAGGGAGAAAGTAGTCAATTCTTCTGGAAATAGTCAATTTAATTTCATGGTCTGAGCACTTATGAGGATGATACTTGCACCACCTATATATCATATATATATATATATATATATATATATATATATATATATATGCCTAATCCAAATAGCAATTTTACTTCAGCTAGGTTGCATTCAGGCATGTTTCAAGGAGTAGCGGTGTATTTTAATGTTGACCAACTTAGGTTTTATGGAACTCTAGTTTCTGAAGGTATTAACAATTAATCATGAATTGACTTGTTTCATGTTCAAATCAGAGAAATCCCAAAGTAAAAATTATTAAACATGATTCTGTTATAATGTTTTTCAGAGGATTTATTAGGCTTCTATAGACTTTGAACCTTTAAGGAATGGATATAGAATGCAACATTTGCCCAACCTAATTAATCAGTGTGATTCTGGGATAATGCTTGGTAACAGCCAAGCTATTTTACAGATGAATCTCTCTTCTTCAAGTGTAATAATATCTAGATCATTTAACCAAAGCTTCTCATGGATAGGTTAATATTAGTGCAATTTCATTTCACTCAGGTATGTTGGCAAACTTTAACAGAAAATACAGTAAGTCACAAAGATTTTTGTAATTGTTCTGTGCTTTTGATTGCTCACACATGGTCTCTGACAGTTAGGTACTTGCTACATACAGTTTTGCAAAAATTAAAATGTATTAGAGTCTGTTTTAGAGGACTATCCTTCTACCTTAACTTTTTTCTTCTTTTTTTAATTTGGAAAGATCCACTTGATTTGCACATGGGTTAGGACTTTGACAGAATGTATAGAAAAGCTTGATTTGTATTATTAGATATAAATGGCTATACACAAAGAATTTCTAAAAGATTTATGATAATCACCAGGAAAGGCAAATGCATATTTTTCAAATTTTTAGTGTTAATATCTCATTTATATCCATTTTAAGGGAGAATTAAAGTTAATTATATTGGTATCAAATTGGCAAAATTATTTCTATATTTTTTCTAATGGGGTCAATTTTATTTTATTGAACTTTCTTGAAGTTTCAAATATTAAAAAAAAAAAAAAAAACCTTTTGAAAGTCAGACCTCCCGCCCATCTCTAATGTCAAGAAGGAAATCCCAGAGATCTTCTACATACATCCAATCCAAAATTAGGATATTTTTCAAGTCTCTCACAAAGTATGAAAAATAAGTAAATGTCTTATTTATGTTAATTAAATCTAAAATATTTCACAAATAAAATACATAGTCAATGCTATCTCAGATTCTATGAATATATGCTTTGAAAGCCACATTTGGCCAAATGAAACCTTTAGACCACATCATAATGAATTTTTTGAAAGAAAGGAATGTTTAATTTTGACTAACAGTCATTAATACCCATTGAATTGGGAAAATATTCTTGGGCTAAGGGAGCAAAAGAATCACCACAATTTCACATATTTTTAGGGCTATAAACTTAAATTTTTCCTCAGTGAAGTAAAAAATCAGTAGTTTTTAGCTCCTTAAAGAGTTTCTACTTTAATGAGTTACTACTCTTTAAAGAGTAGCTACTTTACAGAGTTTCTTAACTCTTTAAGATCAAATCTACACAAGATAATTTAAAAAATAAAACCAGATATGTACTTGATAAGGAGACAGGAAGAAACCTGGATGTTGCCTATTGAAGGTAACTCCTGGCATAAATCATTGTACTAGAGAACAGCAGTGTGGCAGTAGCTAGATGTTCCTTTAATTGGCAGTAATCTAATCTCCAGGTAACTATCACAGTTTAAACACATCCTTACTGGCATTTCCATCATGTTATGATGGGTCATCTTGGTTTATATGTTGGTGTCTGAGGAGAAATTCTCTTAAATCAGAGAGCCTTTCAACAACGAAATTATGATCTTAGTTACTGGTGAATTAACTCAATAATTATATATAATCATTACTTTTTCTAATTTTTTTGTAACTCATTAGTAGTGACTGGGGAAAAAAATCATGGAGTTATTTTCATTAAAAATACCTACCTTGCACTTTACAGGGCCATCTAGTGACATACCTCCTTCAGGAGAAATCAAGGGCTGTGTTACAGTAAATTGGTCCAGTGTGATATTACAAGTATAAAAAATATTCCATTCTGTATCAAAACTAGGCACATGCCTTTATTTATAGTAACAGAAGTTAACAGAGTTGAGCAGTTTTGCCTTGGGTCCTATTTCTTGGCATCCTATGTCAGACATACATATCTCTCAACACATCTCTGCCCATTACTCCAGGGATCTAGTTTCAAGCCGATCTGTAGGTAAAGGAAGGTGAAATCACACTTGGATCTATAGTGGTGAGTAACTAAAAGCACAACCTCTCATTCATATTGCTTTAAAACATATACAGCATATATGTTAAAAAAGAAAAGTAAAGAATATATTGATCTCTTTTTGGTGTTGAACCAACAGTATGGTATGATGCAAGGCTTTAACAAATGATAATCATAGATACAAAATTTTCTGTAGAGTGTGTTTTAGACAAATGTGTCTTTAATATGTAAATCCTACACTGTAGGTTGTTCTTATTTTTTCTTTTTGCAGTGGTAGAAAATGCTGAATATTGTCCATGAGCATGAGCCAAAGGTTCAGGTTCATTACTGAGATCCCCAGAATGCCAGTATTTGCAAAGCAAACAATTAGTATGCCACTGTGTAAAGGACTCTGACACATGCCTGCCTGCCTCTAGATGGAGAGTCTCCATAAGAAGTCCTCCTGCTTCCATGGACCCTGCTTTGACACAGACAAAGCTGCATGAAGCTGCCTCTCAGCCTAGTGATTTATTGTGCCAGACTGTCTTACTGACTACCAACAATGACACAGAGACAGTAGTGACAGTGTAGACCCTCAAATCATTTTCATGTTGAACCTCCTGGGTCCAGCTCCCTCCCCTTCCACAGCAGCACCATTGTTTTTTCGGGGCACGTATTCAAGGTCAATGCTGTTTTTGTGCTTGCCTTTCCCTCGGCTCCACACAAAAAGGAGGAGAAAACAAAATAAAACCACTCCCAGGAATGTGAAACAGCCCATGGCTGTAGATACTAGTATTGTTTTAAGGTCCAGGGAGAAAGTATTAGCATTGGTGCCATTGGAAATAGTGTCATTGGAGTCGGTCATGTACATAGGGGTCCTGTTTGCGTAAAGAAAGCGGTCTGAAGTGAACCCTTTCACAGTTAAGGAGGCTGTGAAGGTGTCGTTCCCAGCAGCATTGCTAGCGATGCAAACATACATCCCGCTGTCTTGGTCCTGGGCAAAGCGAATTTCTAAGGTGCCATCACCCAGCACAGTGGCTCTCCCATTGGACTTGGTGGTGATAAAACGCCTTCTAGGTGTCACCCAGGAAATCACAGGTTGTGGGTCTCCATCAGCATTGCACTCTAGCTGGACGGTCTGCCCTTCATCCACAAGCAGGTGCTGCAACTTCTTTTCACGGATTTTGGGTTTTTTACAGGTAAAGTAAAAAGAAAGGGCAGTGCTATGAAAATCCTTGAATGACCTCTCACGAATAGTATCTGGGCCAGCACACATGGGCTGCTGGCCACCAAACTGCAGTGTGGGCTGTCTCTGCAGGATCCAAAGGAGACGGCAGTCACAGGCCAGTGGGTTGTTGTTAATGCTCAAGACCTCCAAAGCTCGTGGGTAGGAGAATACGTTCTCTTCCAAAGTTTCCAGCAGGTTCTGAGACACGTTGAGCACACGCAGAAAGCGGAGCCCTTGGAATGAGTGAGGTTCAATGGTGCGGAGCTGGGCCCCCACTATATGAAGCTCTTGAAGGCGGATCAGGTCAGAAAACATGCCTGCTTCAATGGTACTGATGGGATTGTAGGAGAGGTTAAGGTGGGTCAGGTACACCAGGTGTTTAAGGGCAAGGAAGGGTACAGTGGACAAGTTGGTGTTAGTGATCGACAGAGAGGTGAGGTTGAGACCGTAGAGGCTATTGGCAGGCATCATATCCAGTAAAGGCCAGGAATCAATCTCTAGGTGTTTCAGGTGGAATAATCTTTTAAAGGCATACACGGGCATATTGTTGATATTAAGATGCTTTAGGTGCAGGCTGATGAGGCTGTGGAGGTGGGAAAGGGCTTCCGTTGGTACCGCTGTTAAATTGCATTTCTCCAGGGTGAGCTGTTCCAAGCTAAATAGCCCACTGAAGGCCCTGTGTGATATGTAAACCAAATCATTATCCCCCACTTCTAGAGACTTCAGATTATGCAGATCCTGGAACATGTAGTCCAGTAAAATGACAATCTTATTCTCACTAATGTCAAGCTTGGTAAGATTAGACAGCCCAGTGAATACTCCTAAAGGGACCAACTTCAAGCGGTTGCCTTTTAGGCGGAGGGAACGCAGGTTAAAGAGATTGTTAAACGCTCCTGGTTCCACATTGGCAATGATATTGTCACTCAAGTCTATCTCTTCCAGCAGAGGGTATGATATAAATTCTTCAGGGTTGATGCTTTTCAACCTGTTTTTGCTGAGGTCCAAGATCTTGGTCTCAATAGGGATGCCCTCTGGAATGGCGATCAGACGCCGTCTGTGGCAGCTAACGGATTTGTTCTGGGCAGAGCACTCACAGCGGGCAGGGCAGCCAGTGGTGGATTCCATGAAGATTAACAGCACAACCAGACCCAGGAATGGCTGCCAGCATGACACGGCCGTGTGAAGCATGACTCCACTCTTAGTCTACACCTCGGTCACGGGCCTGCACGGGTGTGGCAAAGAAGAAGAAAAGAAGTCGAGTTAGGGACAGATGTGTAAAGGGTCATAAATAAGGGAGCCAGTGTAATGAACAGAGTGCTGGGTGAGTAAGCAGCCGCATCTGGGATGATACCTGAGGGTTCCATTGTCACCTACATGATTTTGGACAGGTCATTTAACCTTTCTGTACAGTGGTGCTCATGGCTATGAAATAAGAACAATGAGGGGAACAATTATATTTCTAGAGTGTTCATGACAACTATAAAGAGGCAAATTAAGGGTCTGACACAGACTGTGAGACGAAATGGCACACACTTCATACAAAAAGGCTCTGTTTTGAATTCAAATGAGAGAAACAGAGGTCACTGGCTAAGAGGGAACCACTTCCGTGTGAATGAGTATTTAGACTGTACTTTGGGGAGATTGCCCTCTACGCAAAATGGAGCCAAGATCAGGCCCTTGAGTTCAATAGTTAGATGCAGTGCAAACATAGAGCTTTTCTTCATGCACAGATTCTAATAAAAAGAACTCTCACTTTTGTCAGGGTCTAGTGAATTTTGATTCATGAAAGTATTTTCTTATTCGTGACAAACAAATGGCTGGCTGCACTACGTGTGCATTTCTTACAGGGTTGAGGCAGGATTAAGGCTCCATGAGGACTGTGGTGGAGGTGCTTCCTATGTGACCTCATGTTACACACTGGGTAATGGCAGGTGAGAATGGAAAGGAAAGAAACTTTCAATAGTGATGTATGAACTGTTATTCTTTCATCTTCAAACCAACTTGACCTGTTAACACTGAAATTAAATCAGTATAAAATAAATTTGGAAATAAGTATGTCTCCCATGGTATGTAATTCAACAGTTTCTCAGCATTCTGTAGGATTATCTTCATTCATGAACACCATATTTGGTGAAAGTTTAAATACTTTGAAACAATATTTTTAGATAAAAGGGTATTTGATAAATTTCAACATTCACTTCTGAACTGTAAAAGAAAAGTTATTAATTTCTTCAATTTTAGTACTTATATGCATGAAGTATTATAAAAATATAACAAATAATAGATAAATTTAAAAATTTACTACAGTAAAAGATATTGTTATCAACCTTCATGACCAGATTTGATCATATCACATACTATACCTGTAGTTGAAGCTATATCTATATCCAACACAAGTTATTCATAAAAATAACCAGTAAAATCAAACTTAATGATACATCAGTAAACCACTAGAAAGTACCATCCCAAGCTGTAGAAACATGACAGAACATTGATAAAGTGTTAGCTACATCATTTAGGAATATAAATTATAACTGAGTATAATTGGAAAATAAGTGACAATGCTATTATCATTTTTGTCAAATTAATCTCTCACAAAATTCAACTGAAAAAACTATTAGAACGAATAGAATAAATTATTATGTTAAAAATCAATTTACTTATATATAAAGTCATTTACAAAATTTTGTAAACTTTCATTCAACAGCATTTCTAAAAAACATCAATTTCTTTATTTAGAGAAAAAAGCAAAACAGAAAAAAGTAGAAATAATTCAGAATTTCAAAAAAAGTAAGAAATGACTAATCAAAAAATAACACTAAAAATAACACTAAAAATACACAGTTGAAAAATAAGCACAAATATTTAAAAGATGATAAAATGCTTTACTATATATTTGAATATGATATGAAACATGAAAATAATACTATTATGTTGACACAAAAATATATAGGTAACAATAAAAAAATGCATCTAGATATATTTGAAAAGTTTGTTACAATGGTAAGGAAAATATAAATAATTGGCTAGATATTTAGTCATAAAAGCTGCACTTCACATCCACCCCTTCCAGTAAAATAAATTATAGGTGAATTAAGAATTAAAACATACAAAGAAAACAGTACTAGGAAATTCAATAATTTTATTTTAGAGCTGAGAAGCATTTTCTATGAGTAAAGCTACAAACCAAGAAGAAAAAATCCTTTCTGTTGTATTTAAAAATACCATTATAACAGACACGAGACACATATACACACAAGCAACTGCTAACTGGAGAACATATTTTAAAATCATATAACATATAATGGATTAAATACAGTAATAAACAGCTGTTAGATGAAAACAAAGAGAATGTGTACAGTAACAACTAGAAATAGATAATAAATGAATCACTAGTAAGCAGATAATAGCAAATTAATACAATAGAGATAGACAATTTTTGTTTGTGAGACTGAGAAAAACCAATTATTTTTAGCTCAAATTAAGGATAGAGATACATTCATCTGATGACATAAAAAATATAAACTGGTACAATCATCAGGTGGAGCAAATAAACAGGGAGGAGTTTGACTGATAGGCCTAATTTAAATACATCAAGTTTAAAATGTTAACCCTTTACACCACAGTTTTCAGCTTCTACAAATGAATCAAGAAATAATTGAACTAATAAACACATATGTTTGCTACTAACATCTACAATAGAAGAAAACTGAGGAACTGTAACAGTAAAATCTTCATTATGTAAATTATGCTCTAATCATCCAATAAAATACAAGGAAACAAATATACTATACAATTTACCTGGGAAGACAAAATTGTGATGCATACTCTCATTTGTGTGTATAAAAGTATATAAAATATGTATAAAATTGTGTTGTAGGGCAGCAATACATTTGGAATTTATAAGAAACAGGTTTATACCCAAAGTGAGTGTATCATTCACATGCACCTAGCAGTGAGTGAGTGCCTCAGGGCTCTCCATGCTCTCCAACATGAATAGTGTCAGACTTTATATTAACCATTCTAGCGAGTCCATATTATTCTGAAAACTAAGACTAACATACATCTTTTTGTGTCTTTAGTGTCCATTTATACAGAGTTTTTTTTTTTTTTTTGTAAATCTGATGTGTAGTGTTTTGCTTTTGATTGGCTTATCTTTTATTGTGGAGATGTAAAAATTATATATATATATATATATATATATTCTAAATATCTAATCTGTAGCAGAGAATATTCATGATACATATATCTAATAATTTTGGGCTTACCTTCTCATCCTCCACTCTCTTTTCAGTAATGGGACTGAATTCAGAGTTTCTGTATTGAGCTACATCTATCCTTTATTTTTTGAGATAAGATCTTGCTAAATTGTCAGGTTGAGCTTGAATTCATTGTCCCCCTGACTCAATCTTCCAGAGTGCTGGGATTACAGGTGTCTGCCATCACATCAGGGCATCCTTTTAGTTTCTTATTGGTGTGTTTTAAAGACTAGAGGTTTTAAAGTCTGATTAAGTCCACCTCATATTTTTCCTTTTTATGATTTACACTTTGTGCTTTATCCAAGATATTTCCCCATGTTAACGTAGTGAAGGTTTTCCTGTATGTGTTTTAGAAATTTTATAGTTCTGCCATTTATATTTAGTTCTATGGTCTATGACAGTTAAGCTAGATTGTCAGCTTGACTGGCTCGAGGGAAGCCTAGGGGATTAATAAAGCACATGTCTGGGGAAGTCATAGATGCGTGAACTTCAGCGCTCTACCGCATTACTGACCCCTTCCTCTTGGCTCTGTTCCTCAGATCTGCTGCCCAGAAATGGTACAACTGACTAATACAGATCCATTTTGAATAAATTTTTGAGTAGGATATGAGGTAGACAGAAATTTATTCTTCCTGAAAGCTATTTAGTTTTTCAAGTTTTATTTATTGAAAACACTTTTGTCCTTCTATTATGTTATGTCTAAAATCAGTTGTCTAAAATCTAAAATCAGTTGACCATATACATATATGCATGTGTCTATTTGTGGATTCTATTTGGCTTCATAAATTTATATATTTATCCTGTCAACAAAAGTAAAACTATTTTGGTTACTGTAGCTACTTATAGCAAGATTAAATCTTGAAATTGGGTGTAGTCCTCCAGATTTTATCTTCTTTTCACAGAATTTTTGGCTCTTATAGTTCATTTGACTTTCCATAGAGATATTTTAACATTGACTTGTTATTTTCTAATAAAAGTCTGCTGAGATACTGATAATAATTGTGTTAATAATATAAGAAAATTGATAGTGGGTACTCAGTCTAAAAATTTCACCATCACAGATCTAAGCCATCAAATAAATATATTTGTCTGCAGTTGTTGTAAAATGTCTTTATCATTCTTCTATTGTTTATAAGAGCTTGCTTTTATTCCTGGTCTGGTAGGCTGTAGGTCTTTTCCCTTGCTAAATATGGCTGTAATTTTTCAATTTTATCAAACTTTTGAAGGAACTATTGTTTACATTGATTCTTTCCATTTTGTGTTCTCTTTAGAGTTCTATTCTTATCTTTATTTCTGAACTTCTATTTTCTTTGGATAGAGTTTGATTTATTTTTATCTTTTAACTTTTTAGTTTCCTAAGGTATATTCTTTTTTTTTTTTTAGAGAAAAAAAGCAAAAACAGAGAAAAGGGTAGGAATAATACAGAATTTAAAAAAATAACAGTAAGAAATGTGTAGTCAAAAATAAGAAATCACTAGTTGATAAATACATTTAAATGTGCAAGATAAATAACCATACTACTAAGTTTTTGTTAGTTCATCAAACAGAATAGTTTAAACTGTCATTGTTTGTCCATTTCTTATGTTTTGATTTTGTAACTTGAACAACTACTTCTAAGATAACATACAATTTATCAACTAAGGTAGATTCTTATATCAATGATTTTGGACCTTTATTCTTCTCAAATACAAGCTTTAAAAACTACAACCATCTGCAGTGTCCCCAATAAAGTTGCATGTGTTTTGTGAACATGATCAGATCATAGGAGCACTCTATTATCAGTGGGTTAATCTACTGATGAGTGTATAGCTAAATTGGGAGGTGGCGCCTGGCTGGAGGAGGTAGGATACAAGGGGCTCGCCTCTGCTTCTGGCCACCATGAAATGAACAGCCTTCCTCCACCATGCCCTTCACAGGGATATTTTTTCACTGGAACTAGTTGACCCTGAACTACAACCTTTGA